TTCAGAGTCCATAGTCTCTCATGGTTCACCTCCCCTTCCAATTTCCCTCAACTCCCTTCTCCTCTCCATCTCCCCTTGTCCTCCATGCTATTTGTTATGCTCCACAAATAAGTGAAACCATATGATAATTGACTCTCTCTCCTTGATTTATTTTACGCAGCATAATCTCTTCCAGTCCCGTCCATGTTGCTACAAAAGTTGGGTATTCATCCTTTCTGATGGAGGCATAATACTCCATAGAGTATATGGACCACATCTTCCTTATCCATTCGTCCGTTGAAGGGCATCTTGGTTCTTTCCACAGTTTGGAGACCGTGGCCATTGCTGCTATAAATATTGGGGGTACAGATGGCCCTTCTTTTCACTACATCTGTATCTTTGGGGTAAATACCCAGTAGTGCAATTGCAGGGTCATAGGGAAGCTCTATTTTTAATTTCTTAAGGAATCTCCACACTGTTCTCCAAAGTGGCTGCACCAACTTGCATTCCCACCAACAGTGTAAGAGGGTTCCCCTTTCTCCACATCCTCTCCAACACATGTTGTTTCCTTTCTTGCTAATTTTGGCCATTCTAACTGGTGTAAGGTGATATCTCAATGTGGTTTTAATTTAAATCTCCCTGATGGCTAGTGATGATGAACATTTTTTCATGTGTCTGATAGCCATTTGTATGTCTTCATTGGAGAAGTGTCTGTTCATATCTTCTGTCCATTTTTTGGGCCATTATCTGTTTTGTGTGTGTTGAGTTTGACGAGTTCTTTATAGATCCTGGATATCAACCTTTTGTCTGTACTGTCATTTGCAAATATCTTCTCCCGTTCCGTGGGTTGCCTCTTTGTTTTGTTGTTTTGTTGACTGTTTCCTTTGCTGTGCAGAAGCTTTTGATTTTGATGAAGTCCCAAAAGTTCATTTTCACTTTTGTCTCCTTTGCCTTTGGAGACATATCTTGAAAGAAGTTGCTGTGGCTGATATCGAAGAGGTTACTGCCTATGTTCTCCTCTAGGATTCTCATGGATTCCTGTCTCACATTGAGGTCTTTTATCCATTTTGAATTTATTTTTGTGTACGGTGTAAGAGAATGGTCGAGTTTCATTCTTCTACATATAGCTGTCCAGTTTTCCCAGCACCATTTATTGAAGAGATTGTCTTTTTTCCACTGTATATGTTTTCCTGTTTTGTCGAAGATTATTTGACCATAGAGTTGAGGGTCCATATCTGGGCTCTCTACTCTGTTCCACTGGTCTATGTGTCTGTTTTTATGCCAGTACCATGCTGTCTTGGTGATCACAGCTTTGTAGTAAAGCTTGAAATCCGGTAATGTGATGCCCCCAGTTTTATTTTTGTTTTTCAACATTTCCTTAGGGATTCGGGGTCTCTTCTGATTCCATACAAATTTTAGGATTATGCTCCAGCTCTTTGAAAAATACTGGTGGAATTTTGATCGGAATGGCATTAAAAGTATAGATTGCTCTAGGCAGTATAGACATTTTAACAATGTTTATTTTTCTGATCCAAGAGGATGAAATGGTCTTCCATCTTTTTGTGTCTTCTTCAATTTCTTTCATGAGTGTTCTGTAGTTCCTCAAGTACATTTACTTTACCTCTTTGGTTAGGTTTATTCCCAGGTATCTTATGGTTCTTGGTGCTATAGTAAATGGAATCGATTCTCTAATTTCCCTTTCTGTATTTTTATTGTTAGTGTATAAGAAAGCCATTGTTTTCTGTACATTGACTTTGTATCCTGCCACATTGCTGAATTGTTGTATGAGTTCTAGTAGTTTGGGGGTGGAGTCTTTTGGGTTTTCCATATAAAGAATCATGTCATCTGTGAAGAGAGAGAGTTTTACTTCTTCATTGCCAATTTGAATACCTTTTATTTCTCTTTGTTGTCTGGTTGCTGTTGCTAGGACTTCTAATACTATGTTGAACAAGAGTGGTGAGAGTGGGCATCCTTGTCATGTTCCTGATCTCAACAGGAAGGCTGCAAGCTTTTTCCCATTGAGGATGATATTTGCTGTGGGTCTTTCATAGATAGATTTTATCAAGTTCAGGAATGTTCCCTCTATCCCTATACTTTGAAGCATTATAATCAGGAACGGATGCTGGATTTTGTCAAATGCTTTTTCTGCATTGAGAGGACCATGTGGTTCTTCTCTCTTTTCTTATTAATTTGTTCTATCACATTGATTGATTTGCAAATGTTGAACCATCCTTGTAGCCCAGGAATGAATCCCACCTGGTCATGGTGGATAATTTTTTTAATGTGCTGTTGGATCCTGTTTGCTAGGATCTTGTCGAGAATCTTAGCATCCATATTCATCAGTGATATTGGTCTGAAATTCTCCTTTTTGGTAGGGTCTTTGCCTGGTTGGGGATCAGGGTAATGCTGGCTTCATAGAGAGAGTCTGGAAGTTTTCCTTCTGCTTCAATTTTTTGAAATAGCTTTAGAAGAATAGGTGTTATTTCTTCTTTGGAAGTTTGGTAGAATTCCCCAGGGAATCCATCAGGTCCTGGGCTCTTGTTTTTTGGGAGTACACCACAAATTCTTACTGTATTTTCTGTTTGAATTATTTTCCAAAATCAAATTTGAAAGCTATGATGGCTTATTTCCAGTAATTGATATTTAATGGCTGTCTTCAGTACATTTAGTCAGAACTTTGTTTTTGAGCCAAACACTATACACCTACAGTAGTCACCACTGGAAAATTCCAGTTTTTATGTGAGTGCAGCTGGAGCTTGTGTTTAATGTGGGTTTTTTTGCTAGATTCACTTGCTTCCATATGCATATTGCTTTTTACATAAGGAAGATAAACTATTCCCTTTTTTTGAAATCCTTGATGCTTAGTGTGTAGTTTTAAGCCCTTGACAAAAAATGGTACTCTTTCTTTTCTACTACATAAAAATCCAAGAGGATCAGGGTGCTTCATTTAGTGAAAGAGTCAGTGGTAGTACTGTAGAATGCACTAAACTTTCAAAACATGCTTTGTCTGACTGATATAAATGATTCTTAATAGTTTCTACTGAACTGATAGATTTTACAATAAAAAGGTATGAAACAGTTTTGAGTGCACAATATAGTGTATTAACTCTTGTGCCCGAGTTTTCGCATCCGAGAGACCACCAAGGAGCCAAGCACCAATACAATCACAGGAGGGTTTATTTGACAAGCTTAAGCTTGGGCCCAAGTATACCCATTGCAGCGGAGTAGGGACTTTGACCCCGAGCTTAGTTAAGGCAGGGGTATTTATGGGTTCCTGTTAATAAAGCAGGGTGGGGATTCCTGGACCAAAGCAGGGTGGGGCTTCCTGGAACTAAAGCAGGGTGGGGGAAAGTTCAGCCCTTGGGCACAGGGGTCTGAGATGGCTGCCGGATCTAAGATGGCTATACTTATGCTAATGCTAAACCTGAGGTGGGATGGCCTTGATTTTCTCGGCCTCCACATTAACTATGGTGAACATCTGAAATTTTTATGTTATGAAACCATTCTTTGGTAATTTGTGATTTTTTTGTTAGTACTTGTAATATATATTTTCTTTATGATAACCAACTTTATGGTGTGGGTCAATTTAATTCCAGAATACTAATGTTCTTTTCAAACTGCTGTATTAACCAGAACATGAGATAATGTGTCTTGTAAATTGCCTCTTTTTTAAAATAGTATTTGCTTCTTCATTCATTCATTCATTCATGTAGACAACAGTTACATGATTTTCAGTTGTACAACATAGTGATTCAACTTCTCTAAACATTATGCCATGCTCACAAGTATACCTACCATCTCTCATCATACAGTGCTATTAAAATATCATCAATTATATTCCTTATGCTGTACCTTTTATTTCTGTGACTTATTTCATAACTGGAAGCCTGTATCTTCCATTCCATTTCACACTTTTTGCCCATACCCCCATTCCCTTCCTCTTTGACAATCATCAGTTTTTTCCTCTGTCTGCTCTTTGTTTATTCCTTTGTTATTTAGATTTTATATATAAGTAAAATCATACAGGTATTTCTCTTTATCTGTCTCAGTGATTTCACTTAGCATAATGCCCTCTAGGCTCATCGATGTTGTTGTAAATGGTGTGATCTCATCCTTTTCTTTTTCTTTTTTTTTAAGTTTTTTTTTTTAATTTCTTTTCAGCGTAACAGTATTCATTGTTTTTGCACCACACCCAGTGCTCGATCTCATCCTTTTCTATGGCTATGTAATATTCCATCGAGTTACTGCCTGTATTCTCTTCTAGGCATTTGATGGTTTCAGTTCTCAATAAACGGCCTCTTTTGAAACTAGCTAAACTATTGCTGAAACTGAAAAATGTATGCCATTCCCCCTCATAGGCACTGTGTGGCTTTGGAGTTAGATTTAGATTCACATTTCAACATTAGGAAAAAATGTTAAATTGTTGGGCAACAAGTTAACATATTTGCATCTCAGTATTTCTTTTCTTTGCTAATGACACTTCACTCTCAGTGCAGTTTGGAAAATGAGGTGAGCGAGTGTGTGAACACAGCTGTAAATGACAAAATGCTATATGAATAATATTTTGATATTTGATCATTTATGGAAATTTGCATAAAAATAATTTAACTGCTTGATTTAAAAATAAAATCTCCTCCATGTAATAAAATTTTAGGATAAATAGTATACATTTAATAAATATCCAATAGTATGATAGTATAAATGTTAGAAGTTTGAATACAGGGATGAGCCTCTCTTGTTTATTTGACAGAGACAGTGAGAGAGAGATCATAAACAGGGAGAGTGGGAGAGGGAGAAGCGGGCTTCCCACTGAACAGGGAGCCTGATGGGGGGGTTCGATCCCAGGACTCTGAGATTCTGACCTGAGCCAAAGGCAGATGCTTAGCAACTAAGCCTCCCAGGCATCCCTCTTCTTAAACTTTTTTATGTAGTGATAACATGCATTCAACTATTAGTATATCTATATATGTTATATATATACTTTTTTTCTACATTCTAAATGATACAAGTGTGTTTTATAGGTTTGCCTGAATCCATCATTGCAGCTGCATGTTCAAGAAGTGGCCAGAGGGTTCTGCATGTTGATTCGTAAGTTTATTAGTGGTAGCATTTAATACTTCTTAAATGTCTCTATACAGAATTTCAGTTTAAATACACTTGTATGTATATATGTGTCTATATATGTCATGTATAAACTAAGTTAGAAAAATAATTGGAATTGTTTAATTTTCACCCAAAATATATGAAATATATAAAACACAAGTTTTATAATTCTGTGCTGTGAAATAGTGATCTGTTTTCTTTGAGAATTAACCATAGCATAATTTTTTCTCATGAGTGACTTTGTTCTTTAAATGATAAATATACAAGAAACTTGGAAACCTAACACTTGCTTTTTTTCTTATGTGAGTGTGAGGATATATACAACCCTGTGTGTGCTATTGTATTTTGGGCTTCATATTTTCTGTCTTTTTGAAGTATATTTGACATACAATATTCTCTTAGTTTCAGGTATATGACATAATGATTGGACACTTAGATACATTGGGAAACATCACCACAATAAGTCTAGTTACCATCTGTCACCAAAATTAAAACATTGTATTTTCTTATGATGGGAACTTTAAGATTTACTTTCTTACTTAGTCTTTCAAATTTGCAATACAACATTACTGACCATAGTCACCATGCTATACATTACGTCCCTATGACTTATTTCATAATTGGAAGTTTGAGCCTCTTGATCCCATTAACTTGTTATACATACCCTCCAAACCGCCACCCCTTTGCAACCAGTAATCTGTTCTTTGTATCTTTGAGATTGGTTCTGTTTCTTTTCTTTATAGATTTTGCATTTAAGTGAACTCATAAGGCATTTTGCCTTTCTCTGATTATTTCATTTATTTACTTATTTTTATTTAAATTCAACTAGCCAAAAAAAGAATAAAAAATTTCAATTAGCCAACATATAGTACATCATTAGTTTTAGATGTAGTATTCATTAATTCATCAGTTCCACATAACACCCAGTGCTCATCACATCACATACTCTCCTTTATGACCATCATCCAATTAGCCCATCTCCCCACCCACCTCCCCTCCAGCAACCTTCTGTTTGTTTCCTATCTTTAACAGTCTCTTACAGTGTTTCTCTCTCTCTGATGACTTCCCATTCAGTTTTTTCCTCCCTTTGCCTACTATCCTCTGTGCTGTTTCTTCTATTCTACATATGAGTGAAGCCATATAATAGTCTTTCTCTGCTTGACTTATTTCACTTAGTATAATACCCTTCAGTTCCATCCATGTCAATGTAAATGGTAATCCTTTTCCTTTTCAACGGAAATCCATCCTTTCTGATGGCTGAGTAATATTCCGTTGTGTGTATATATATCCCACATCTTTATCTATTCATCTGTCGATGGACACCTGCGCTCTTTCCACAGTTTGGCTATTGTGAACATTGCTGCTATGAACATTGGGGTGCAGGTGCCCCTTTGGATCACTACAATTGTATATTTGGGGTAGTGCAATTGCTGGGTTACAGGGTAGCTCTATTTTTAACATGTTGAGGAACCTCCATACCCTTTTCCAGAGTGGCTGCACAAGCTTGCATTCCCACTAGCAGTGTAAGAGGGTTCCCCTTTTTCCGCATCCTCACCAACATTTGTTGTTTCTTGTCTTGTTAATTTTACTCTTCTGGCTGGTATGAGGTGGTATCTGATTGTGGTTTTGATTTGTATTTCTTTGATGCCAAGCGATGTTGAGTATTTTTTCACGTGTCTGTTGACCATTTTTATGTCTTTTTTGGAGAAATGTCTGTTCATGTCTTCTGCCCATTTCTTGACTGGATTATTTGTTTTTTTCTTGGGTGCTGAGTTCGATAAGTTCTTCTTAGATCTTGGATACTAGCCCTTTATCTGCAATGTCATTTGCAAATATCTTCTCCCGTTCCGTGGGTTGCCTCTTAGTTTTGTTGACTGTTTCCTTTGCTGTGCAGAAGGTTTTCATCTTGATGAAGTCCCAGAAATTCATTATTGCTTTTGTTTCCCTTGCCTTTGGAGACACGTCTAGCAAGAAGTTATTGCGGGCAAGGTCGAAGAGGTTGCTGCCTGTGTTCTTCTCTAGGATTTTGATGGATTCCTGTCTCTCATTGAGGTGTTTCATCCATTTCAAGTTTATCTTGTGTATGGTGTAAGAGAATGGTCCAGTTTGATTCTTCTGCATGTGGCCCAATTTTACCAGCACCATTTGTTGAAAAGAGTATCGTTTTTCCATTGGATATTCTTTTCTGCTTTGTCGAAAATTAGTTGACCATAGAATTGAGGCTTCAGTGGTGCCTGGATGCCTCAGTCACTTAAGTATCTGCCTTCGGCTCAGGTCATGATTTTTGGATCCTGGGATTGAGCCCCGAATTGGGCTCCCTGCTCAGCAGAGAGCCTGCTTCTTCCTCTCCCTCTGTCCCTCCTTACCTGCTCATTCTCTCTCTCTCACTTTCTTTCTCAAATAAATAAATAAAATCTTTTTAGAAAATAGAATTGAGGATCCATTTCTGGGTTCTTTGTTGTGTTCCTTTGATCCATCCCTTTCTGTTTTTGTGCCGGTACGATACTGTCCTGATGATTACAGCTTTGTAATATAGCTTGAAGTCTGGCATTATGATGCCACCAGCTTTGGTTTTGCTTTTCACCATTTCTCTGGCTATTCAGGGTCTTTTCTGGTTCAATACAAATTTTAGGATTATTTCAGCTCTGTGAAAAAGCATCAGCGGTATTTTGATAGGGATGGCATTGAATATGTAGATTGTTCTGGGTAGCATAGACATTTTAACAATATTTATTCTTCTAATCCATGAGCATGGAATGTTTTTCCATTTCTTTATGTCTTCCTCTATTCCTTTCATAAGTTTACTGTAGTTTTTAAGAGTACAGATCCTTTTATTTCTATACCTAGAAATAAAAACCTTTGGTTAGGTTTATATTTCTAGGTATCTTATGTTTTTTGGTGCAATTGTAAATGGAATTGATTCCTTAATTTCTCCTTCTTCTGTCTCATAGTTAGTGTATAGAAATGCAACTGAATTCTGCACATTGATTTTATACCCTGCCACGTTGCTTAATTCCTGTATGAGTTCTAGTAATTTTGGGGTGGAGTCTTTTGGGTTTTCCACATAAAGTATCATGTTATCTGTGAAGAATGAGAGTTTGATGACCTCTTTGCCAATATGAATGCTTTTTTTTTCCTTTTTGTTGTCTGATTGCTGAGGCTTGGACATCTAGTACTATATGGAACAGCACTGGTGAGAGTGGGCATCTCTGTCATGTTCCTGACCTTAGGGGAAAAGCTCTCAGTTCTTCCATGTTGAGAATGATATTTGCTATGAGCTTTTCATAGATGTCTTTTAAGATATTGTGAGCTGTTCATAGATGGCTCTCCCTACACTGCAAGAGTTTTAATCAAGAAAGGATGCTATATTTTGCCAAAAGCTTTTTCTGCATCAATTGAGAGGATCATATGGTTCTTGTCTTTTATTAATGTGTTCTATCACGTCGATGGATTTTGTGAATGTTGAACCACCCTTGCATCCCAGGAATAAATCCCACTTGGTAGTGGTGAATAATCCTTTTAAGGTTTTAAGGTACTGTTGGATCATATTGTCTAGTATCTTGGTGAGTATTTTGGCATCCATGTTCATCAGGGATATTGGACTGTAATTCTCCCTTTTGATGGGGTCTTTGTCTAGTTTTGGGGCCAAGGTAATGCTAGCCTCATGGAAAGAGTTTGAAAGTTTTCCCTCCATTTCTGTTTTTTGAAACAGCTTCAGTAGAATAGGTATTATTTCTTCTTTAAATGTTTGGGAGAATTCCCCTGGGAAGCTATCTGACCCTGGATTCTTGTTTGTTGGGAGGTTTGTGATTACTGCTTGAATTTCCTTTCTGGTTATGTGTCTGTTCATATCTTCCATTTCTTTCTATTTCAGTTTTGGTAGTTTGTGTTTCCAGGAATGCATCCATTTCTTCTAAATTGCCTAATTTGTTGTCATATAGTTACTCACAATATGTTTTTAAAATTACATTTCTTTGGTATTGGTCATGATCTCTCCTCTTTCATTCATTATTTCATTGATTTGGGTACTTTCTCTTTTCTTTATGATAAATCTGGCTAAGTATTTTTTTTTAATGATTTTATTTATTTATTTGACGGAGAGAGAAATGACAAGTAGGCAGAGAGGTTGAGGGGGGGAAGCAGGCTTCCTGCTGAGCAGAGAGCCTGATGCAAGTCTAGATCCCGGTACCCTGAGATCATGACGTGAGCCGAAGGCAGAGGCTTAACCCACTGAGCCACCCAGGCGCCCCTGGCTAAGGGTTTATTGATCTTACTAATTCTTTCAAAGAACCAGCTTCTAGTTTTGTTGATCTGTTCTACTCTTCTTCTGGTTTCTATATAATTGATTTCTGCTCTAATCTTTTTATTTCTCTTCTCCTGCTTGGCTTAGGCTTTATTTGGCATTCTTTCTTAAGCTCCTTTAGATATAAGGTTTTCTTGTGTATTTGAGATTTTTCTAATTTTTTGAGAGAAGCTTGTATTGAAATGTACTTCCCTCTTAGGACTGCCTCTGCTGTATCCCAAAGGTTTTGAACAGTTGTGTTTTCATTCTCATTAGTTTTCATGAGTTTTTAAAAATTCTTTGTTAATTTCCTGGTGGATCCATTCATTTTTTAGTAGGATGCTCTGTAACCTCCAAGTGTTTGAGTTCCTTCCAAATTTCCTCTTGTGATTATGTTCAAGTTTCAAAGCATTGTGGTCTGAAAATATGCAGGGAATAATCCCAGTCTTTTGGTACCAGTTGAGACCTGATTTGTGACCCAGTATGTGATCTATTCTGGAGAATGTTCCATGTGCACTCAAGAAGAATGTGTGTTCTGTTGCTTTAGGATGAAACACTCTGTATATATCTGTGTAGTCCATCTGGTCTTCTATGTCATTCAGAGCCTTTGTTTCCTTGTTGTTCTTCTACTTAGATCATCTATCACTGGTGTGAGTGTGGTATGGAATTCCCCTACTGTCATTGTATTATTATCAGTGTGTTT